CTACTAGCCTCATCCCGCCTCCTTGACCTGTCTATCCTCCCTGGACTGACCTATCCCCTCCCTAACTCCCCACCTACACTCACCTTTACTGGCTCCAACCCAGTCTCCTTGACCTGTCTGTCTCCTCTCCACCTATCTTCTCCTTTATCCGTTTTCTATCCGTCTCCCCCTTTCTCCCTATTTATTTCAGAATCCCCTTCCCCTCCCCCATTTCTGAAGAAGGGTCTAGACCCGAAACGTCGGCTTTCCTGCTCCTCTGCTGCTTGGCCTGCTGTGTTCATCCAGCTCTACACCTTGTTGTTCCAGACGGACAGTATTGTGTTTAGCTCCTAGCTGCTCCCTGGAGCTATTCAGTTGAAAGGACAATTAGGGATGGGTATCAGATGTGGGCCTTGGCAGCAATGCCTACGTCCCATGTCAAGAGTAGTGAAAAAAAGATAATTCTTTGAACTTTGAATCTTTTGTCAGTTTCTTTCAGCGAGATAGTTAGTATAACTGAATTTCTGGGTTTGAACATGTCTTTTCCACACGAAGATATATTGGCCAAATGGAAAAATGACAACTCTGTACTGTAGCATTGTGCATAATTTAAAAATAAGGATAGGATGAATTTTATTGACTACATAAAGATAACGACGTAAACTACAATGACCGGAAGCTTATGAGGCTAATGATTCAAGCATTTTCAAGAAATGAATAGCCATCTGCATAATAACAGCAGTGAACTAGTCCGTATACCTATACATTTCTTAGAAATATTCAAGCCCATTTCAATTTTTTTTCATTTTATTATGTATGGCCTTGCACGAATTCAAACTAGGGAGAAATTGTTATCACCAGTTCCTGAAAACCAACTTCTGAATCCAAAAGGAGCATCAGTACAAACTCGACTTCAAAAAGCCAGTTTGATCATGGATGATAAAAGGATAGGAGCAGGAATAAACCATTTGTTACATTGAGCTTGCTCTGTCATTTTGATAATATCAAGGCTTATTTGATAGTGGCCCTAACTCCACTTTCTTGCCTGCTCCAATAATATTTAACTCCGTTAGTTAAAAATCTGTCTTAACTCAGTCTTGCATATACTTGATGACCTAGCCTCCACTTCTGTCTGGGGAACAGCATTCTAAAGATGAATGAAAGGACTGAAGTCAATGAATGATTGATTAATGTAAAGAGTAGTCATCTGAGTAGTGAGGGCAAAAGGAACATTGAAAAGCAAGAACTACTTGTATTTACGTAACACCTCTAACATAAAATAACCAAAGGCACTGGTAGCAGGCATTTCAAGACATCGTATGATACCGCGTGGCTGAGGAGATTTTGGAACAGAAGTTTTAAGCAGTGTCATAAAAATGGAAAGGAGGGTTTGGAGGTGAAGAGGTTTAGGAATTGAATATCAGGGTTTGGATCTATGCTACAAGTAGTGGAAATTGGGGATGCTCAAAACGTCAGAATTAGACAATTTCATATCTCTCAGGATAGGGTGGTTGAATTAATTGAATTGTTTGAACTAAAATAGAATTTTATGTTGAATTAAGTTTTGAGTGCTGAGTATGCTAGTTAAATTTCAGTGTCAAAAATCTTGTGATTACAGTCACGTGTTAAAATGTATCAAACTTGTTTGACGTGAGATTACAAATGTGGAGAATTCATGGATAATGCAATTCAAAATTACATATTTATTAAACAATGAGAAGATTTATCCTTTCGGTATTGAAACAGTTCATTTTAATATATTAATAAGACCAAGATTCAGCGAGTATATTTTGTTAAATTGCTTTTCTTGAAGTTGGTCAGCAAAATAACATTAATCAGATCAACTATATTTTTGCATATTAGAGGGTTACTGAACTTAAGCATATTGTAAATTTTACAGCAGCATTCATACCAGATTCTGAAGATAATTTTATTGAACTCTCCGACGTTTTTGTTATGTCACTTCGATCCCTGATTACCTTAGCAACTTAGAATTTGTGATCACTTGTAGTTAAAGAGAGAACTTACTATGCCGTGGACAACTTTTACATTGAGGGCCCTAAATATTTTATTTCTTAACTCCTGGATAGTAGACCTTTACTTATCAGAGCAGCTCAGTTGTGTACTTTTTGGTTTAATTAGTCGTTTATTCTGCCTAACATGTACTGAAATTGAATACTGTGTTATCCTACTAGAAGCAAAAAGAAATGAGGAAATTTGGCTGACTTAGCTCCATAATGCAGCCTATCGAGTTTAGATGTAGATTTTGGATTGTTGAATCCTTTTGCTTGACTCTATTTATTTAATTAAATTAATTAAACTCCATTAAATGCTATTTGGCTCAGGTGGATATTACAAGTTTACTCCTTTTGGAAATTTGTTGTCCTATGTATTCAACTATTTTACTGCAATGATCTCTTGTCCACTGTGCAGAGACAAAGTCTTGGACAGGCGGGGAAAAGGTCAAAGGTATAGTAGAAGTGTGTCATAGCATGCTAGAGGAAGTCACTTATGCTTGATGACTCTATTATGACTATTGTTTGCTAGAAATGTATTTTATTTAAATCATGTTTAGTTTATTGCAGCATTGTATCCTCAAAAGTTTGTATTCTCATGCATGTATACTTGCTCCAATTTAGGTTTTGCTGTCCAAATATTTTGCAGTGCTTTTTGTACTGGCTTAGTGCTTCACTTAGTAAAGTTCTCTATGCTCAGTTGAAAATGAGTCAGGTGCTTTTAGATGTATCTTTATCTTGTGATTGCTTAATTGTGTGTAGTTTTTCATTCTGCTCTTGTGAAAGCATTTTTGGACCAGTAGCAATTTTGCATGGTGGTGTGCTTAGTTAGCGCTTGGAGCTCAAAGCAAACTTTTCTTTGCCTTTTGGGAATTTTGTTGTCGAAAAGAATAAGTTTATTGTTTGCTCCTGGGTGTTTACAGTTGCCAATTTTATTCAAACTTGGAAAACATTGCACCGCTAAGGTGCTTTTATTTTTTAAAAAAGGGCTGGCATGAGAAATGTTGTCTTGAGATATTAACCAAAGATGTAATCAATTTTTTTGAGGGAATACATTTTCATTGGTTTCTAATATGCAGCAATAATTGATAACATTTTGCATTCTGAAAATAGTAGCCATGTTGAAGTGAGTCAACAGCTTCTGGAAAAATAGTTTATCCATTTTTCTTGGGTGTGCTTTGGAATTATTCAAAATTATGTGCCTCTCTGTTGTGAGATGCCCAATGACACCTCGAATTTATGTAATGCCAAAGTGTGTCAAATTTGAACTCTGATGCTCTGTCTAATCAGTTAAACATAGAATCTCAAATTATGGGAGATGGCACTAAATTTAAGTTTACCTTTTGAACAGATTCATTTACGTGGGTATATGCAACATCATTTCAAATTCACATCTGACTTTCCATGATTTCACAACAGAATTAACTTCAATATTCCTATTCTAATGATTTTGGCAACATTGTCTTAATTGAATTATAGACTGGTAAATGCTGCTTCATTATAAGTATAAAGCTATATAAATACAAAAAGTGTACACTTGTCCCCTGTATAAATGGCAGGCTCAGTTTAAAGGAAATTGATATTTGTGTTTTTGGGTTTTCAATTTTGTACTTATTAATTAGAATTGACTATCGTATATACTTGTGTAAAAGTTGAATTTTTAGACTCTTTAAGGTTAAATTTATGGGGTCGACTATTACATGGGCACTACTTTTGAGGGGCTGAAATTCATGCTACAGTCCAAAATACTGTATTAGCAGAAGCCCAATTGATCTCTAAATGAATAAAGAATAAAAAAACACATTGTTAATTACTGGTACTTCTGTGATCCCAGCACCATGAAAAACGAACACCGCAGTGAGAGTCATAATCTCTCATAGTATCACAGCTCGCGTGAGCATTTGTTATTGTCAGCAGAAAAGAACAAACAGATTGATTTATTCTCCCTGCAAATTAAAACCTGATTGTTCTTTCACTAAGTAATCCTGAATCTTTTCCGTTTACTCCTATGTCCAAAGCTCTCTGTCACCCTCCGTGAAACAGTAAATCAGTGATTCCAAAGTCTCTCAATTACTGGGTTCATTCTTTTGAAACTCTGACAAAGGAATGAAAGCTGATGAAGAGAAATCTGCTAAAATGCCAGAGTATCCTGGAGTTGAAAACAAAGTCCCATCAAACCTGGGAGAGTAGATGGCAGCACTTTATCTCCACCTGCAGGTCACTAACATATTTCTATTTGAAAATTAAAACACTGAATCCTCTTTTCATCTGCATCATTGGAGTAAAGATACACTTCGTGAAGGTTCTTTGACAGATGAGAAAGAACACCATCTAGCACTTGCCTTAAAATCCGAATTATCTGTGAAGAACTAGGGTTGACTTTTACATATGGAAAATTAGACTTTTTTTTTGCCCAAAAATAAGCGGTCGGCTTTTACATGATTGACTTTTACTCGAGTATATAGGGTATTTAAACAAAATAACCATTGGAAAATTGTATCCTGTAGCAACATAGTATGGCAGTACAAATCATTGTCACCTCACTTAATCAGAGAGCTTAGATTTGAAGCAGGAGCTGGTTAGTTCATTTGGCCAAATAGCTAGTGAGTGTTTCAGATGAATGCCAACAGCGTGGATTCAATTCCTGTTCCGACTGAGGTAGACTTGGTAACCGCCTCCTCCTCCTGTCCCCGAGTGTGGAAGATGGTGGCAAACCATGACTGACAAAACTGTCAAGAAAAACTGCTTGGGCCAGAGCATAAACAGATGATGAACAAAGGATCATTCTTTGGGCAGACCACACGAAAAGGAAGGATGAGTTGATTATCCAAGCAACAAATGAAAAAATCAAATAGATATGTGGAAGTAAAAGTGTGTTTTTTCAAAGCTCATTTTAAGCTGTTGCAGGGTATACAGTTGCAAAGAGCTGACGTTTGATGAAATAAATGTAGATAAATATATTTCTACATCACTGCATTTGCCCTAACAATGAATGTTTTCCTTCAGTCAAATACAAAGTTAAAGCTAGTAAGGAGCCTGGCTGTGTGTGAAGAGTCTTCTCCTCCGCCCACAGCTGATGTTCCACAGGATAATCAGGTAAAATGCAACAGTAAATGCATTAAGCAAAAACCCTTGTCTGATGGTGTAGTATTTTGCTAGTTGAAATAAATGCTTTCATTTCAGAGAGAAATAACTGTCTTGATAAATTCTCAACGTGCCTTTCATGAACATCAATTACCTTGCAACAATACTTCAATTTAAATTAAGATGATAGGAGTTGATTGGTGGTAATGTGAGGAAAAGAACATGTGTATAAATCCAAGTTTTATAGACTGAGAAGAAATACATCAGTAGTAAGAATTCAACCAAATTTAATCCTATTTGCTTTATTGCATTTTCTAGAATTTGTAAATAGTTGTAATTGGTTATATCTTGTAGTAATTTTTACGATTTATTTTGCATTTACATCAATTTTTGCACTCTTAAAGGTCATACAGCACGACAAAGAAGATAGCTTCCAGTTTTTGGATTTTAATATTCACCTAAATCCATTTTCAATTAGATTTGTTGATAGGTGGTGATTTCTACCGAGGTGAATTTTTTAGTGTACTATTGAGAAAACTAAATTAAATGAATTCTACCTTCATGATTTGCCTTTGTTCTTAAAATAATCTGAAAATATTAACTTTATATGGATGTTTAATACTGGAAGGTTCATTGCTTAGACCAGAAGACGCAATCATTGGATTCAAATTTCATCATTACGTTTTTGTTTTCTCTTCGATTTAGTACTTTGATTAACAATTTGTTGGAAATGAATCTCTGAATGCAGCTATACCACATTGAACGTTTGTACATGCAGCTCGAGTTTTGAAGCTGTGAATGGTTGTCATCACACACATGAAAATTTAGGGCGGGAATAGGGATCGTG